GGCTGACCCCTTTTTTTCAGACTTTTTTTCACACTTTTTTTCCCGCAGGTCCAAGTAAGCCAAGAAGCTTTCAATGCAGGCTTTGTGGGCATTACCGGGCCTGAGTGCACCTGAACTACACCTAGAAGTCATGGCCTCAATAAGATTTCGCATCCTTTCTACAAAGTTGACGGTGGGAGATTGGTCTCCATGTTTCTCTTCAATATCTTCTCTGTAGAGAAAAAGGCCACGGAGGACTTCATCACTGAACAGCAAAAATGCGTAGTTGACCCTCATAGCCTCAAAACCAGTAGGCCGAACCACGGACTTACTGACGTGTGGCATTGCCTTGAGCGTGGTGCTACGACTTTCATCAGAGTTTCGGGCACAGTCTATACCGTCAACATCAGCGTGCCCTTCTGGAAGCTCAAAGCCTGTGCTAACAAAGCTGTTCCTCACGCGTTTGACGAGATGCGGGAAGTCTGATACAAAGCAAAGGAAACGCTCGGGGTCACTGGGGTGCTTTCTTCTGCACACAGTTTTTTCCTTCGTTCCAACCACACCAAATGAATGCCACATGGCCCGATTCCATGAAGCTCCATCACACGTTACGAAATCCACGTGGAGCCCAGCATTCTCGCACAGTATGACACACTCAAGGATTATTTTGGCTAGAGTCTCTGCTTTAACATTGCTATGCGAGGCAAATACTCCAATAATCTGATGCCACTTCCCACTGAAGGGCTGGAACATCACCACCAGTCCATGATCACATGTAAGTGAGCGCTCGGCTTCAGGTGTGAATTTCCCGAGGTCAACGAAGCCTTCAATGCTGCCATCCGAAGCAAGACTCAAGTTTTCCGATAGCTTCATTTCATCGATGAGTAGGCCGCCGTGGCACTGAAACGGGTCCATCGACTTTGTTTTTTCTTTTACAGCAGCAAAAACTTTGCTGCTGAGGCCAAAGCCACTTCTGAACTTCTTCAAGTAGCGCCGAAGACACGTACGCGATGGAAGAACCATGATCTTATGCTTTCTTATGTGCTCATAGAGCCGTGGACTCTTCATGCACATGACTGCACACTCAAGCACCCATTCAGAGTCATATTTCATTCCTTTGGTGCTTTTGTGCTTCGCCGCTGCTAGGCATGCTCTTACCTGCTGCTGCTGTTTTGAGGGCAGGGATTTGATGGCATCCACAAACACCGAGGAATCTTTGCTTGCATTTTTCCTTTTTAGTTTCTCGATGTTCAACTTCACTCTCAGAATTTTCGATTTCGTCCTCTTCAGTTGCATGCTCCGAATCTTCAGCTTGTATGAAAGGGGCCGGGTGCAAGCATGTACCTTCCTTCGTTTGTAGGAGGCCTGGTTGAGCAGTAGCTTCTTTAGGTATCTACACTGTGGGCAGGCTTTGCCTAGTTCTTGTGCCACTCCTGGGCAAGACATGCTGAAAGTCTTCCCACCACAGGTCTTTTCTTGGCGTTTGGGATTAGCAGCGAACTCGCCCTTTTCGCCGAATCCTTTGCACCGTATCAGAGAATCCGCTTCCGCAAGCAGCTCTTGCGCCATTGCAGTGCTACTGACCTGTACGTTCTTCACTACCGTGGCTTGAACGGAAACTTTCGCTTGAACACTGCACTCGTTTGCAGTGAAGAGAACGACTTTTTCTAAGGCGAGGTTACCGTTATTCATGGCACAAACTGTGAATGCTGTAGCACTGTCCGCCACAGCGATCCTGTGCTTCGCCCAATAGGCACTTAGTGGTTCACAACTCGCGATATCAAGCGCGGTTGGAGAGTTGGAAAAGCTTCCGTCTTCATGGGAGTCGGCAGCGTTGTCGTGCACAGAGGCGCTTCCTTCACACCTCGGAATCTTTGCAGATAGGCCCCTCGTAGACGTCCTCGACGTTCTTTTCTGGGGCGGTTTCTTCGATAAATACGCAGGGACGTTCGGATAAACGGTGGGGATTGCATTATCTTTAAGCTTAGGTCAATCACGAGGAATTCGCACTGTCTCACCGTTGATAGTGTGGGTGAAAAACCGCACGAGGTACTGTTCGTCGAAATGCAGCTCACAAAGAACTGAGGTTGCTTCCAGTGGTTCGTCCGCACGTGGCACTGCTCGCTGCCAGGCTTTGAAGCGTTCAGGGTCTTTGGGCACAGAAAACAGCGACACTTGCCGATCGGACTTCCTCGCAGAGACGTAGCCCGAAGAACAGCCGGGCACGAAGCAGTGCGTCTGCGACGCTTTCCGTTTCATGCCAGAGCTCATTGCGCTTTAGATCACCGCACTCAGTACTGACTGGAAATAAGTTTGTCGCTGTGCGACATACTTGTCATACAAAAAGCGACGAACTCAGCCTGTAAGGCACAAAAAAACACGTGCGCGAAACGGTAAACAAACGACGGAAGAAACAGCGCCAACCCCCTCGCTTCGCTTTCGACGGGCATCGAAGAGCTGGCCAAAGCGCCACCCCGGGCTACCGCGGCCTGTCATGAAACGACGAATCGGTTTATATAACAATGAGTGAATGCGCCCCCTAGGGATGAAAGAACAGAAGCGAAACCGAAACAGAATACAACACTCGCTTTGGGCCTGGCCTACAATGCACGTGCTCTAAACTTTGCTTACCCTGAAATGCAGACTGCATGGCTCTTGTCCGAACTGATCAACATTCTTTAAAACCAACAATAACAGAAAAGAAAACCATTTCCAAGCAGAAAAAAAAAACTCAACGTGCTGACAAGTTCAAACTCGTCAAAACAACCGATCTCCTAGCTCTCAACAAAGCTTACTGCCGACGCTAGCAATGAAAGTCCCCTCCTAGGCCTACTTTTCCCTTTCGATGCCGACGGCTTTCGCGACCGCTCTAAACGTGCCCAACATTTGATTGATCACTTCTTTCCACGCAATTTACACGGGACACCCGCCGCTTGACATTTCCTTGTGTTTACTGTTTAGGGCATTATTATTTACCGGCCGACAACCCATGATTTCTCCGGGAACGGAAGTACAGCAGCCTAATCTGGAAGTTCCTTTTGATGCCAGTGCTAGCCGCTTGGCCGCCTCTGCCACTACCGAGGTACCTGATCACACATTTGTTTTTATTTTTTGGGTGGGAGGGGGGGAAGGGCGGTTATGATTTAAGGCATGCAATAAATCTTAAATTTGGTGCTAATGATACGCCGCCTAGTAGTCAGGTGTGTACTTATGAATGCGAGATTCACATATGGTGCACGTAATGGGGAGAAAGTTGGAAAACATTTATTTACACAAAATACACTGAGAACAACACTGTGGAGAAGGAAAGCACTAGAAACTATTGCAGCGTTCTGAGCAATGTTACACAATCTGTGACTCTACAGTACAATGTGTATATCGTTTCATTAACAGCTGCACTCTGCCTTAGCTCACTGCCTAAAATAAAGTGTATTTGAATATACACTATTTACACTATATGCAGATAAATATGAATAGTACAAAAATATTACAGTGTAATGTATACAAGATATACAACACTATATACAAATGGGAAGGCGAGCTCACATACACAGCCATTATGCTTAACATTGTGGCTTCCGCCCACCACTTGCAGGGCATGAACTGCGCACAGTTGCCCGCGAGGCTTTGTTTTTTTCTCGAGTGAAGAAATGTAATCTACATCTCAAAAAAAAGTGTACAACCTCAGCTGTTATCCCTAAAAAGTGCAACAGACAACCTACACTTGCTGACGCTGTGCGGCTGTTGAGCAAAATGCCCTCAACAATCCTCGCGTACACGTCACCGCATGCAATGTTTTGCACCGTGTACGTCTCTACATGTTCTTCAACAATTTTCAGGAGACCAAGAAGACGGCTGCTAGGTACTTTCAAATAGCCCCTCGATTTTGTTTGGATCAAGGCAGATGGCTGACGTGTTGTGCTCAACATCGTTTCGATGCAGCCTAAGCAATCCAAAGTAGAAAACTTCTTGGCGTAATCCAAAATGGAGTCTTTGGTCGAAAGGGGGCCAATGTCCTCCACGCAGTCTGTTGTTGGCTCCAGCAGGACATCGTCCAGCAGAACAGCTAGTGTGTCCACCTGAAATGTGCACAACTTCCTGAATTTTCAAGGTGATAAAAAGGAAACTTCAGGACACATACAGGACACAAATTGCAAAATACCTGAGTCGTAGAGGGCTTTTCCTTGTCAAAAAGAACTTGCAGAGTGAGAAGCAGTTGTGGCCCGCTTCCGTCAACTGAAGCTCGCTTAGGTGGCCGCACGAGGTTGTTCACCGACAGCATCCGGTATATAAACAAAAACTGCTGAACAGTTGGTTGGCCCCCGCCTCCTGCAACATGCCTGGCTATCCCAAAGAAGCGCTGGACAGGGAAAAAGAAAGGTATCTGTACCAACACACCGTGCCAAAAAGTACCTGAATTACCTCTAAAGGGTCTTGGCCGAGGTTTCCAACTAGAACATAACGGAAGCCAGACTTTAAGAGTCGATCAATCAGGGCCACCGTGCTGTGCAGCGTTATCCTCAGTGCACCACAAGTTGGTTTGCTAAGGAAGCACACCTGCCTCTGCTTCAGCAGGCTCTCTATGTATGTGCAGCAATCCTCCAGCCACTTTATGTTCGCCTTCAATGTCTGCAATGCAAGAAATATTAACCTTGAGTACACTATAAAAGAAAAACATATTTGGGTGTGATTTACTCGCTCACCGCGATGTGCTCGGCTTCGTTGTATTGCACGTCCTGTGGTCTTCTTGAGTTGAGGCAGTCAAATAGATCGTTCATCTGCTTCGTGAAGTCGTATGTACCTGCGGGGTTATGTAGCTTTTGGCAGCCTTCTTGCTTGCTATAAAACTCCATTGCAGACGCCGTGCTTCCGCTGAAAAGCTGAAAATGATGGCACACTGTTGTTGAACGAAAGAGCTTGCATTGAAATTTGTCTTTTTTGACAAATCATCGGCAAAGTTTTGTGTCATTAGTTCGCCTGTAAGTAGCCTTACTAATTACTAGGAGTGGTTACTCGCCTGAACAGCAAGCCGGACACTCATCTTCTGGAAGGCGTTCGGGAAGATGTGAGCCCTTGTGAGCTTCGGGACAGCCCGAAGGCCAGCCTGTTGCTCCTCGTACTCCAGCAGGGCAGAGTAGTGGAAGTGATGGACCTCATGTCCTTCCGGTAGCTGCGATAAAAAGGTGAAGCCACTCCTCGCGAAGGGAGTAACCTGACGTAGATACGAATTACTGCTTACCAGAAACTTTCCAACCTTCTGAAGATTGTTCCTTATGCATTTGAAGACATGCGGTGGATCAATTAGTGCCTGCACTGTCCGTGAAGGGTCACATGGATGCTGGAATGAAGTTTGCAGCTGTTTCTGATCACTGTTTATCCCTGAAAAGAACACATCAATGCAGTTAGTAGTGTTCAATTCTTAATTTGACAAATTTAACTCGTGTCCCCAGATACTAACCCAAGCTCCTTAAAGCTGAACGATTTGGTGTTGAATTGTCGCATGTAACAGCATCGACAATAGCGCCAGCGTTCGAAAGGTGCACAATGCACTGGAGCAACAACTTCGCTACTATTGAACCAGGGGCTGCACCGGAGGAACAAAAGGTCCCAACAGTCTGCGACCACCCTCCAAGAAATGGTCGTAAGAGAAAGACCAGGACGTGGTCGCCATCTTTCTCACAGTCCGATGGTCTTGTGTGCTCAGCGAAGTTAACTTTCCCGAGCAGAGCCATGTCTGACTCCCTAATGTGCACACTCTTTCTTATGCTCATTTCATCGAACATCAGGACACCTGTAAAAAAATACATCTTATTAGATATGCACCACATATGAGATATGAAGTCATAGAATGCAGTAGTAAGTTTGTGCATTGTTCCAAACCTCGACGCTCTCGCTCAGGAAGTACTTGCAGCTTGTCTTTGAGAACGGTGAATAGACTGCTGTCAAAACCAAAGTCAGCCTTGAGGCTCCTCAGGTACGTGTAGAGGGTGCGAGGGTTGGGCAAGGGAAGGTACTCATTCTCGCGAAGGAATGTATAGACAACTGTCGACTTAATCTTCAGTAGCAGGCAGTCATAAATCCATGCTTTTTTGTACCTAAAGAGAGTGCAGGCTCGTTGTGCATTCAGGTAAACTGAGGCTGGTGAGTGAACAGTGCAAGTGCATAACCACAGCAAGCAGAAAAAAGAAGATGCACGACATCTTTCCTCATACTGCAATACACAACCACCGCGTTTAAAAATGCCTTGTCATTTTCAATATTAACATGCACCCCTTCTCCAGTACGAGAGCAACAGACAGCTTGCATTGTGCGATCATGCAAAGCGGGCAATTTAGGATTACTCTGACATGCAGTGCTAGCGTGCACTGCTCTTAAAAAATATGCACAAGACAGTGGCACGAAAAAGATGTGCGATTATATTCATAGCTTCGTGGCAGTTATGTGCGACTGAAGATTACCTGGCAGTTTTCGGAGATTTCGCGTTTGCCTTCATGATGCACTGATCGTAAATAAGCTTCTCGCGGGTAGATAGCTTGTCCAGGTTTTGCAAGAGTCTTGCATTTTTGTTGGCCAGGACTCTCATCTTCGCAAGCTGCTTCTGACACCGTTCGAGTTTTTGCCGCGTACTCGAAAGCTGCGCCTTTAGCACCTGCACTTCAAGAAACGAACACACTGCCTGTTCCGTTTGGCAGGCCTGATCTGTGTGCCCGCTATCGCTGGCTGCTGCATCTGTAATACAATTCAGTAACACTGTTCAGAAGCACCTCAATGCCACCAGCCGCTAACACAGGGTCATGCGACTGAGGGAACAAAGTAACGCCGCGACTAAACCGGCTCAAGAGCTTACCGTCACTGGCTTCTCCTGCCGAGTCGGTGTTGACGTTTTGGCATTCCACTGCTGCGCATTCCGGTGACAATTCGCGGCGCCTCTTCGCTGGTTGCCTCTGAGTCGCAGGCCGTGAACGCGGTTTCGGCTTTGTCAGGTACGCCGGGAGCCCGTCAAAAATTCTTGGAATGGCATTCGTGCAAAGCCTCGGTCTCTCTCGCTGAAGCGACACGACCACCCCGTTCACGATGTGCTTGTCGGTTCTCACAACGTCGCTAGCATCAAAATGCTTTTCGCACACCCGAACGTTCTTACTTTCGAAGCTGAAACCGCCAGCTTCCAACCGCGGTATAGCTCGCTTCCATTTCTCTCGGAGTTCGGCGCTACTGGGGAAACAGAAGAGCGACGCCTTTTCTTTGTTGCTTCGGTATCCGGAGCTGCAACCCGTCACACAGCACGTCTTAGGCATTGTTCATGCGAATTTTCATGCCGTCCACCCAGAGCACGGTGCACTGGCACATGAAGTTCGCGTTTCGCTGATGCAGAAACCGCGAGCTGCCACCACACAACGCCTTCGGGATGCCGCCGCGGCCAGTGCGTTCTGCCGGGCGCAGCGGGGCTATGGCCCCCCTAGGTCGGCTTGCGCCGCGTAGCGGCCGCTCTTGGCACCATATCAAGCTCTCCCATAGATTGACGAAGAAGTTTCGTGACCAGAACGGTATTAAGGGACTGTGACTGTGCCAACTAGTCCATTAGGACTTGCAGATAGGTAGGGATCTTTCAGTGACACTATACTTCCTGGTCTTACTACAGTTAGATCAGTTTTTCGCTGTAATGCTTCCCTGGCTAGAGGCTCATACCCGCGCTACACAGGCAAGCTAAGCGCCATTACGGCCAACAACGGTTAACCGCGTCAAACTGCGCTTAGCGCCAACCACGGTTTGCTGATGTTACACAGCACGAAAGCATTTTCAGTTAAGGTGGCTAACGCCATATGGTGTAGAACAAACTGATGCACTAATCAACAGAGCGACACTCTGTGTATAGTTATGCCACTTATTTATTGCTGAATGTTCTTCAAACATATAATTATGCGAATATATGCATTTTTTGCTAAAGCCTCATCGCTTGAGATAGTTTTGTTTTTGTGTGCCTGTCCATGTGCTTTATTAATACTTTAGAATAACGTCAGCATGTAGCCTTGCAACACTTTTTTTTTTTTTTTGCTGGCAGTGACTGGTGTTGCTTGTCGTGTGTTGATTTTGTTGCTCGTTTGGTTACTGCTGCGGACTTCTCTCATGGTTAGTGTGCTGCAGTGACTGGTATGTATAGCAGTGACTGGCGTGCGTAGAGCTGCATAAGTGGTGATGGCTTCGAGCAAGCCTACACTTGATGTTGCAGCCGATCGCAGCGAAGACAATGAAACGTTTTGGGCTTCTTTCATGGCTCTGCAGGTACTTTTGCAACTCCAGTGAGTCCTTGAATGGAACATTTTCTATAAAGTTGAAAAGTAAAATGCCAAGCAAAGAAGACAAAAAAGACGGTGCAAACACCTCACAGCAATCGCTGTGCGGCTCTGTTTACATGAAAGGCACATGCACCCACGTGTTATACTGTGGTGGGAAACAATCCATCCGCATCTCTCAGATGACGGCTTCAGAGCAAACTTGACAATGAGTTGCACCATATGCATTTATTATATAGTTCAGAAGCGCGTCATGAAGCATGTCATGAAGCTCTTTTCGCAACCAGCAGATGAAGGCTCCGACTCGCAGGTTTTCAATTGTCACCTCTCTCAGTGCAAGGCGAGTTGGCCGCGAGGTGGCTGCAAACTGCAGTGCAGCGTGCTCTTGTTGCATGTCAAAAGCTGTGGACGCTGTCATGTCAGGCTTTTTTTTAAGCGAACGACTACTGTTATGTAACTAAGATTCTCATGCTTTCTTTTAGTGTGATGGCAATTATCTTTTGAATATTCCTTGAGAATCTAGTTTTCAACAAAACCTTTTTTAAATATTATTTCACATGTTACGAGGGCTAGACAAGTGACGTGGTATGTAAAAATGTAGCTGCACTCTATACCTGGCAATAATCTGTCTAAAAACTTCCTTCAAAGTGTATTTCAGTATTATGTATATCATAAACCAATTAAAATATGCACTGGTGCCCCCACATTGCTAGAAATTTGCATTTTCAGGCTTCCAGGATGACATATTAAATGCTGCTAACTGCCCCGAAGCAATGTTCTGCTCCAAAATTGAAATTTCGCCGCTCCGAAAACTGCTCCCAATTTAGTCTCGGCTGTCTCACCCCTGTTTCAGTCTTTTGTATACCTTTCAGCTTAAGGTTGGTGCACCTACTGTAGTGCTTTAATTCTTTTTAGTTTCCTCCACTCAAGGCTCTGGTTTTTCACTTCATGGAGCTCAAGTCGAAGGCTTTTTATTTCACTTCGGTATTCTTCGAAAATTTCGTTAATGTGCCCGACTGATTGCTTGATGGAAATGAGCTCAGCTTTCATTGAGGTATTCTTCATATCAATCTTGTTTATCTCCCTCTTTTGGTCACCTATAGCTTTAATAAATTTAGTGGTCATCTCGGCAAGCATTTTTGACACCTCTTTAATGCTTGATTGTGTCTTTTTAACTAATGTCTTAGCAATATGAGCCAGAGTGTCTGTTTTGCCAGAAGTCACTTCAAGTGTTGATTAGGTGCGCTTGCAAGTTATATAACACAAAAGGGTATGTGCTTTAGAACACACTATGGTACAGGGCAGCAGGGACAGCGAGAAAATCTAATAGGCCGAAAAGCTAAAGAAAAAATGACAACCTGCAGTACGAAGCAGGAACCGCTCAGCTGATGCACAGTCGATGCTGTCACCGCTGCCGAATGTCGCTTCCCCGGAGCACTGCTGTCTATATAAGGTGCACGTTGGTCACAAGGTGCCTATATGTAGCGCCGTCTGAACGGGAGCGATCAGGTCTATGCAGCTGCCAATGCTATGTCGCTCGTCACTTTTATCGCACCCCAGTTCGCAGTACAATGGTGACACAGTCCTGGTATAGTTGTCGTCAGCAGATCGACGGTGGAGATGGATTTCAGAACAATCGGTCCAGAATCAAAGGTGCATATTTAGCTTTCTTTCGTTTATCAAAGTTTGATATGCTCCTCTGCAAAATGGCCACACCCATAGGAGCTTACCTTGTTTCTTCAGAGGCCGATTTTTGCCGAAAAAAGGCTGTTTTTGGTCTCTAAAAGGGAATTTAAAGTTTCTCAATTATACCAGAGAGTTCTGGGAACGATCGGCTGATTATCAATGGTAAGTACTTGAATTTAAACCGTTTATTCTACGAAATGCAGTTGGTGCCAATCATATTTAAATCTGTACTGCAAATTATTACACAACCTAAAATGCTACAACTCTATGTAATAACTTGTTAGACCTGCATATTTGCTACCCCAACCGCCATTTCGTCTTTCGTGCAAAAGCACATTTCCCGTATCAATAAAACCAGCCTGACATGATACCTTGCTACA